AAGGAAATTAATATATTAACTTTGGCCTCTCAATACATTTATGAAAATTTAATGTACGTACACAAAAATAAAAGTAGTTTTATAAAAATAAGTGATATTCATTCTGTAAATACTAGGAACAGACACAAGCTAGTAGTACCAGTTACTCGACTCCATCGAGTCAGTAATTCATTCTTGGGGCGATGTATACGCTTTTACAACAAAATTCCAGAAAATATACAAAGTTTGGCCTGTTCAAAGTTCAAAAACTTTATTAAACTAAGTTTGTATAAAAAGGGTTATTATAATATTAAGGAATTTATGGATGATAATAACCCCTGGAAATGAGGTGATCGCTACCAAGCTATTTCTAATTTGTTGTGTTGTTAATTTGTGTAACATCATGATTGTAAGCTGTTATTTAAAAAAAAAAGTCCCGCTGGGTTTCTTGCTGGTTCTTCCCAGGACAGAGGTTTTTTCCGAACCAGTGGTAATCAAACAAAAGAATGACTTTCAATAAGTATTATTTATAATCTATATTGAATAAAAAAGTTTCTGTTTCTGTTTCTGTTTCTGTTTCATAATTTCTTACGAGTAAAACATTTATACAGTAAAGTATCTTTACAATAAAGTTCACAAAGAGTATTTAAATTGGGAGCTCCTAAGCAACTTATATCTATGATAGTATTATTTTCATCACAAATATCTTGCACCCATTTAATTTTTTCACATCCTTTTAAAAAAATATTTTTATGTTTGAAATATGTCTTTATAATTCTGTGAAACTTTCTATAATCAATCCTCCCTCCATCGATACCCTCTGTGCTTTTCAATCCAGCCAATTTGTTTTTTATCTTCAGGAGATAGTGAAGTGAATGGGTAAGGAGGTTTAATTAGGTATATATTGGTGTACTCTAGAGAGGCTTCAAGCTTAGTGTTGGGAGCACTAAGCTCGAAGTTGTTGACGAGTATGTTTACCTGGGACAAATAGTCCGACTAGGTAAGTCCAACTTCGACCGAGAGGTCAATCGACGGATTCAACTCGGCTGGGCAGCGTTCGGGAAGCTACGACACATCTTCACGTCAGACATACCTCAAAACCTTAAAACGAAATTGTACAACCAGTGCGTGTTGCCAGTGATGACTTACGGAACTGAGACGTGGTCCTTCACTGCTGGCCGTATGAGGAAGCTCGAGGTCGCTCAGCGAGCTATGGAGAGGGCTATGCTCGGAGTTTCTCTGCGTGATAAACTTAGAAATGAGTATATCGGCAGTAGAACCAGAGTAACCGACATAGCCCAATGGATTAGTAAGCTGAAGTGGCAGTGGGCCGGTCATATAGCTCGAAGAACCGACAACCGATGGGGAAGAAAGGTTCTCGAGTGGCAGCCTCGTACCTCGTTCGGTAGGCGAAGTGTAGGGCGAACCCCCACGAGGTGGAGTGACGACCTGGTAAGACATGCAGGAAGTCGATGGATGCAGGTGGCTTAGGACCGTGCTTTGTGGCATTCTTTGGGGGAGGCCTATGTTCAGCAGTGGACTTATGAAAGGCTGTAACGATGATGATGAGAGTGGCTATAGCAAACTCCTTTACTATAAATTTATTTTTGCTATTTTTGAAGCCTTGAAGATCGACGATTATTGTATTGCTATTCATGATATTTTCTTGACGATATTACTCAGTGGTTTGTATTCGAATATACAGTCGTTTAATATCAAGCAATAAGCGGTCGTCTGATCTGGTATTTCTTGGTCTGTTTCGATTTAAACTCTCACATCCATCGAACCTTTTAAAGTTTCGTGTTGTCTTGAACAATCAATTACAAATAATGGAGCCACGTCTCTGAACTCCTTTAAAACCATCAACGGCTCTGACCGGCGTCCATGATACGACTATTGAAATCTCGCATACTGATCGTATAATTAAGTAAACTTATCTTCTGAAAAACTGACATTCAGCCCCTCATAAGGATAATATGATGAATTTAAAAAGACTCTTACAGCTCGTACGTGACAATGATCAAACTCTGCCATTGATAATTTCGCGTTATGATTGCGGTTGGTTTGCAAGGCCATTGCCTTGCAAACCAACCGCAATCATGACAGACCACAAATCGTGGTTTCTCTATTTGCGATGAAGTTTTAATAGACCAAGTCTGTTTACGTGTTTTGGGTAGCAATGGATATTCATATAAGTCCCAGGAACGGAATGCCAATGGAATAGCTCTATCTTTCTCTAAAAGTTTTAATAGGCTGATTCTTTCACGATCTGATACTTTGGTGTGTGGAACTCGCCAAACTATTTTATTTATTATAATTATCTTCTACAACTTCACCTGTATTTAACTTGATCGCATTAAGATTTGTATTGCTTCGTAATAATACTAACTCATGTTTACAATTAATTATAATTTTTTCATAATCTTCTGCAAATTCTAATATCTTGTTCAATGGTATAGATGCGGAAAACGCTCCACCACTAGTATTGCTTGTTCCGCCAGTTGACCAGCCCCAAACTTGAGCACATTTGGATTCATTTTTATTTAAGGATAGATAAGATTTAATTGTAGTAGTTACACCAGCATTTTTAATTTTATCTATTTCTACTCCATTAAGTTCATATCGTATGTCTTGAAAAAAAAATAGCACGGGATTATTGACAAAATGTACGTTTGATACCTTTTCTTTTGTGGTGCTGATATAAACGTTCACCTTTCCCTCGATATATAAACTACTAAATGAAGGTAGTACGCACAGGTCTTGTTGATTAATAGGAATACGTATTTCGTCATTCTTGTTAAAACTAGTTACATATGGTTTGTATGAATGATACTCAAAACTTTCAATGCTGTTATCGTATGATGTTTGTTGAGATACGTTTAAAATATTCATTTTATCAAGCCAACTAGCTTAAGAAATTCTACGGTAAGCTTCGTTTTTAGCTGAAGAGGTGTGCCTTTATGAGATTTTCTTTTAAAACTGGCTTAGATACGTGTATCTATTATGTATCTTTAAAAGAAAATCGAAGTAGACGGGCTTTTATTGAAATTTATCATATATTTTTTTTCGGAAATGTAAATACAGTTATACTTCTTCACCTCGTAAATTTATCTCTTTATTCTCAGCGTTCAATATCTTTATATTGATAGCACTTATGGAACTTTGGTTAACAGGAAAATAAATCAAGTTTCTGGGTATTTCAATTATTCGATAACCAGGTGGTACATTAGGTGCAAATTCAAAAATTATATGGCTTGCTTTCCCGTTGACAAATGAACCACTAACTACATCACATTCAATCCGCACGATGGTTGTCGATAGAATACTGACAGGACACTTTGATTCAGTTTTTACCCAGTGATTCGCTTCTATTAAAGTGCACATCTTCAGAGCAAAAAATATTTGTTTTCAATGTATTATTGTTACAAGTTAGTTTTAGTACAGCGTTCTTAATATAATTTTTTAGATAATCACAAATATCTAGAAGCTCGTAAGACCCTTCAGGGATTTCGATCATTTCTTTTTCACTAATAAAATTTATTGTTCCTTTCATCTATATTAGGAATAGAATTGAAAGTTGAAAAATACAAAAGACCACATTCGTAGTCTCCTCGTAGTTCTATTGTTGGTGAATAGTTCGTTGATAAAGAGGCTCCTATCCCAATTTTAGACACAGTGAAAGACCTTTTTATACTGATACGTTTATTTATTTCATACACTATATAAATGCTTTTTCCAGTAATTCCTTAAAAAACTTAGACAAAGATGTCCACAGTTTGTAGCACCAAACGCTTGATGTCGTGCATAATTATAGTTAATAGGTAAGTTATGCATATATTTAATTAATTCTAACGGGGGCTTTAAATTACCAAAACTATCATAATATTCTACGTATTTATTGTGCTTTACAAAGGATACCCAATGCGTTCCAGGATTTCTGTAGCTATCCAAATTCATTATTCCACATTCTATCTTTCTCGGTTTGAAAGGTAAATTATTTTTCATGAAAACGCCGCGAAAGTATGGAATTTCACTTGCATGTTCTAATATGTCGAGATTAGCGAGTGCCCGTCTGGGTAGCCGTTTAATTAGTTTTTTGAGGGGTTAAGATATAAACCTGCTCCTTGTTTATGAGTTTTAATATATAATCCTTTTCCTAGAGCAACGGCTTCCATCATTCTGTTGTGTCTTTTAGATTCCTGAAGACTCTTTTGTGCTACTTTTGAATCATTAACAGCTTTTGCTATACCCGCTGCTCCACCGGCTAATGATCCTAAAGCTGACAATCCTGCAAATATGGGAATAAGTGGTAAAAATCCTCCACACTTTGGAAGACGAATACAACGGGGTAAACTTATTCCTTTTTTATTACTAAATATTTTCTTTGCAGCTGCATAGGCATATTTTATAGCCGAGTGACTCTTTGGATTTTAGTTTTTTCAACTGAGACTGTATTTTTTTATCCCCTTTTTAAATGCTTTTATACCGTTCCCCGCCTGAATTTTCGCTTTCATCGCATTTTTTGACTATCCATGAGACAATTTTTTCTCCTTTCCTAGCATCTTCTGATTTCAACCTCCTCTTAGCCATTTTTCAAAAGTTTTAAATCCGCTTTTTGTCGAGCGCCCGAATCTTTGTTAGTGTAAGCAATATCATGGAGCATGCACGCTTCATCCAATTTGTTTATCCCACGATCGCCTTTGAGTAACCGTTTTTGAAGTTTAGTTCCGGGGCCGCAAAATTGATAGCCGAGTAAATGTAACTCAAACGGTAAATTGTCTATTACTTTATCAATTATACCACTGCCTCCCTTCATCGATAAGTATAAAATGACATTATTAAGTAATAATACGTTATTTATATACCTAAATACCACTAATTCACTTTTATCCCACTATTTACTGCATCACTCAAACCTAACCATTTTACTAAAAGCTTATTTCCTTTTCTTTTAATGACTTTTTCAATAAGATAAAGGTCTGGAAATTTAGTTTTTTGTAATTCGTAACCGTAAAAAGAGCCTAGAATTTTTGATTGTGTTTGTCTTCTATTTGATAGGTTTGAGGATTGGTTTGGTTGACTTTAACGATACGAAATATTTCTGTAGACCAATTAGGGGTATAACCTTTGTAAAAATCTCCTTTGTATTTGCTTATACGAACGTAATCGCCAGCGTGAAACGCCGGTCCTTGACGTATCTTAGGCTTTTGAGACTTCTTGATGTTTGACATAATTAAAATCGCATTTGAATCATTAACGTTGATAGGCTTGAATTTTGTAATGCGATGTAAAGTATTATTATACCGCTTTACAACAAAATCTAAATTATTTTTAAACCATTGATATCGTCCGCATAGACTGAATATTTTGTAAAGGTGAGTTTTTAAAGTTCTTATTACTCGTTCTACAATGGAGGCCTTTTTAATGGAGTACGTGGAATAATTATTTATATTATAATTTTTCATTAAATTCTTAAAAGAATCATTATAAAACTCTGTACCAAGATCTGTTTCTAAATTTTTAGGTTTCCGTCTTGATTCGGATAATCAACTTTGCATCGCATTTTTGACACAATTTTTATGTTCCGTTTTTAATGGTCTAACCCATACGTATTTTGATAGAGCATCGATTACTACTAGAACATATTTATGTCCTTTATTAAACGTGAAATATTTTTGAAAATCAATCAGGTCAGCTTGCCATAAATCATCTATTCCTTTAATAATCGTATGTTGACGAGAAAAATTTCTTCTTGCTGCTTTGTGAAGCTCATTGACTATATCTTCTTTACTCATTTTGGGCAGGTTTTGATGCAATCATGAGGTCGATTTCCTTTTATTGTAATACATTGTCCTGAAATTGATAGTAGTCAATTTTTCTAAATTGTTAAGGTACTTTTTGACATTATCGTGAATATTGTTTTCATTTCATTTTTAAGTTCTTGAACACATTTATCCACATATTCTTTATTCACGGCCTCATCCTCTTCTTCAGGAGTTTGCAGTCCTTTTAATCTTGTTGATTTCAAATCAAAATCACCAGCGTCTGTTCTTACTAAAGCGTCACTGAGAATATCAGAGCATTCGGATAGTCATAAACGCTTATGAACATGATGACCAAATTTGTCTATATTCATAGCCGTCTTATCGGCTTCTGTAATGAAATGGTACTGCGTAATCCTCCTGTAGGCAATTTAATATATTTAATGTCTTTTATGATGCCAGATTCATGCAATTCTTCCACTATTGCATAAATTTCATTGTATACCCCTGTGTTACCAGCTGCCCATGATCCAAGTAGTAATTTTAATCGTTCCACTATCTTTTTTGGATCGTTCCAGTAAATCAAATCAGTATCTTTTTTAACTTCTTTTAAAATATCAACTCCTTCTCCCTTTGGAAGACTTTCAGCACTACTTTTATGATTTCTCGAGTTCTTAAACAATGGTTTGATCACTTGCATATATTTAAATCCTTTGTTACTGTTAATTCGTTTGGACGGATCATAATTACGTTTGTGTACATTAGTATGCAAAAGTAACAATTTATAATTTTGTAAGTCTTCCTCTGTCACAATATCTAAATTTGGTAGCTTTTTAAACAATAACTCTTTTTAAGCCTGGAGTTTTTTTCAAACTATGATTTCCAATTTTTAAGATGTGATCATTATCATAGACACGAAATGGGCCGAGCATTAGTTTCCCACGCTCATTTCTGACACCATAAGGCACATATTTTAGTAATTCAGATGACATAGTCCATGATAATGAATCATTTGCAATACTTGGTGTTGATTGATGTGATTTAAACGAAATTTCATTGGTGTCATTATCATCCACAGGAAGCGAGTGAGTAAGGGTTTTGTGGGATGTTGTGTATAAACATTGTTATCTGAATTTACTTCATTATTAACAGGATCTTCAAACACATCACTTGAAGAAATCGATGTCGATATTTATATCCTTTATTAAACGTGAAATATTTTTGAAAATCAATCAGGTCAGCTTGCCATAAATCATCTATTCCTTTAATAATCGTATGTTGACGAGAAAAATTTCTTCTTGCTGCTTTGTGAAGCTCATTGACTATATCTTGTTTACTCATTTTGGGCAGGTTTTGATGCAATCATGAGGTCGATTTCCTTTTATTGTAATACATTGTCCTGAATTTGATAGTAGTCAATTTTTCTAAATTGTTAAGGTACTTTTTGACATTATCGTGAATATTGTTTTCATTTCATTTTTAAGTTCTTGAACACATTTATCCACATATTCTTTATTCACGGCCTCATCCTCTTTTTCAGGAGTTTGCAGTCCTTTTAATCTTGTTAATTTCAAATCAAAATCACCAGCGTCTGTTCTTACTAAAGCGTCACTGAGAATATCAGAGCATTCAGATATTCGTAAATGCTTATGAACATGATGACCAAATTTGTCTATATTCATAGCCGTCTTATCGGCTTCGGTACTGCGTAATCCTCCTGTAGGCAATTTAATATATTTAATGTCTTTTATGATGCCAGATTCATGCAATTCTTCTACTATTGCATAAATTTCATTGTAAACCCCTGTGTTACCAGCTGCCCATGATCCAAGTAGTAATTTTAATCGTTAAATCAAATCAGTATCTTTTTTAACTTCTTTTAAAATATCAACTCCTTCTCCCTTTGGAAAACTTTCTGCACTACTTTTATGATTTCTCGAGTTCTTAAACAATGGTTTGATCACTTGCATATATTTAAATCCTTTGTTACTGTTAATTCGTTTGGACGGATCATAATTACGTTTGTGTACATTAGTATGCAAAAGTAACAATTTATAATTTTGTAAGTCTTCCTCTGTCACAATATCTAAATTTGGTAGCTTTTTAAACAATAACTCTTTTTAAGCCTGGAGTTTTTTTCAAACTATGATTTCCAATTTTTAAGATGTGATCATTATCATAGACACGAAATGGGCCGAGCATTAGTTTCCCACGCTCATTTCTGACACCATAAGGCACATCTTTTAGTAATTCAGATAACATAGTCCATGATAATGAATCATTTGCAATACTTGGTGTTGATTGATGTGATTTAAACGAAATTTCATTGGCTTCATTATCATTCACAGGAAGCGAGTGAATAAGGGTTTTGTGGGATGTTGTGTATAAATATTGTTATCTGAATTTACTTCATTATTAACATGATCTTCAAACACATCACTTGAAGAAATCGATGTCTTACTTGTGCTGTACTTAGGTTTTTTAATAAGGTGAACTTGGTCTGTATCTTCATTTAAATTCTGCTTTTCTTCAGTTTTTCTGGTAAGCATATTAAGTGGATCAACGATGGGCTTAAATATTGTTTCCAAAGCCAGACTATTTGTATTTTTTGCATATTTTATCATTTCTACCTTTCTTTTTACAGCTGCAGCAGATTTTACAATTTGTTTCTTGAGGTCTCGCTCCATTGTAAAGGAATTGTACTATGTTTGACTACTCAGCAGAAAGTGATTGCTTTGTGACATAGCAGCTATTTAAACGTTAGTCTAAAATTATGTTATGTATTTATATTGTGTATGTTAATTAGGTAATTATGAATGTATCAAACTTCATTCTGTAACAGCCTTTACTTCGTTCACAGTCTTTATTTATAACAATATAATTGAAAGGCTTACTCCACACAGTTGAACACATTTCCCGGAACTGAGACCATGTCATGTCAGACTCTACATGCCCGTCATAAATGTGACTCATATTTACGTCATCTTGTTTAAACAATATGATCAGGTTAGCGTTATCTCTAACTAGTTGCTTAGGTATCTTAGTATACGTTTCATTAATATAAAAACAGTCAATGTTCTTATGTCGACCCATGGCGAAATAATCGCGTATGTGGTACTGATTTTCACAAGCTACATCGTCAAATATTATAATTGAGTTAGGCGAGGCTTCGTGTGAACTCAAAATTTCGCTATTATGATTATACTTGTAATAAAATATACCTTCCACATTCTGCAGTACTTTTTCTAAAAATAAGTATTTAGGTTGACTTTGAATATACATAAAGGTTACGAAAACGCGGTCCATTCTGATGTAACATTAAGCTGATAACTAAGTTAGTTTTGCAATTTGATGAACCGCATACAATACTACGTATCGTATTTGGCAATAAGCTGCCATGACGTTTAACCTTATTTTTTGGTGCAGGACAGATACATTCTAATTTAAGTGATTCTTTTTGTTTGAGAAATTTCATAACAGTTTTGTTAACTTGTCCGTATTGGCTGATAGATTTTAATGAAATAACGTTATTTCAATCGTGTTAATAATTTAAAAATTTGAAAAAGTTGCTGAAGATTAACTTAATCATCAGCTTTAGTTCAAAAGCATTTTTTTATATACGATAGGGTGACAAACGAGCACACAGTCCACCTGATGGCAAGTGGTTACTGTGATTCATAGACATCTACATCTATCCTCAATAAAGACTCAAAATGCAGATGCGTTGTCACCCGTGAGGACTAAGATGGAATGCCTCTTTTCCAGTAAAATGGGTCACCGGTTCTCTACACTCACCATACGAAACACAGCAGTGTTAAGCTGCTATTTTACGCTGGTATTCTGTGAGAGCGTGGTCCTATCCCGGTCGAGCCGACCCATTAGTGCTACTACTGTACTACATTTACATCTACAATTTACAATTTTATTTAAATATTTTTTCACGATCATTTGAGCATTATGATTCGTGCACTTTTGGATTTTCCAAAAATTTTTTTATATTGAAGTTTGACATAAAATTATCGGAAAATTGGAAGTATAGTAATAAAGGTATTAGTTAAAACTAGTGTGTATTTAAACTCCTTTAAAAATTTAAGTATAACATGAGTGCTTAAGGCAGGCACATTTGGATTTACCAAAAGTTTTATGTGATCATTTATGCATAGAAAAACAAAAACAATATAGGAAACAGTAACTAGTTAACTAAGTAAGTACTTACTTCAAATTCTAGACAGCACAAATCTAAAAAGCTAATCTGAAGAAAATCTTAAATTAACGCTAGTTCCGCCAAATATTCTGCGTAGATGTCCTTCTAGGTAGGTTCCACTCACTTACTTATTTCTACCATCAACCAGCAGTACGTGTACTGTAGTGTACCAGTCTGATGAATATAGAGAGCCAAAATAATTACCGCTGTAAGGCATTCCATTTAGTCCTCAGAGGTGACAATGCATCTGTAGCTTTCTTTGTTTTAAATTGGTTGCAGGTGTCTATGGTTTGCAGTAGTCACTTCTCATCAGGTGGACACTGAATTCCTTTGTCATTTCAGTTTAATAAAAAAAATAAGTCTATGAACCGTGGTTATTTTTATTATTTAGTTTTCTTAAATGCATTCAAACTTAGTCCTCAGTTGTGACAATGCTTCTGAAACCTTCTTGGTTTGAAATTGGTTGCAGGTGTGTGCAGTAGCCACTTATCATCAGGTG